TCTGTCTGTCTGTCTGTCTGTCTGTCTGTCTGTCTGTCTGTCTGTCTTAACTGTCTGTATATGTGCAGATGGTTTTTGTCATGGATGTGTCATGGAGATTTTCAAAGTGCTATTTTCCATTAAGACCTTTTTTTAACCTTCTGTTTACGTTGTGTAAAAGCCATTTGGCCAAAAACAAAGCTATGATGATGAGATCAGTAAATGTGCTAGGCAACCACATGCTCTGGGGATAATCTTTTTTTACAGCTAATAGGCCTAAGTCACATCAGAAGGCAAAACATTGGAGCCCTTTTTGCTAGTAAAACTGTTTGCACAAATTCGAGATTTGTCAGGTGACTGGATTATAAGGTGAAATACGAGTTTTGTAACAGCATGCAAACACAGGAATTTACGCAGAAAAAAAATCTGTGTCCATACCAAACCATCTACGCTCCAGTTTCCGTTTTTGCTGATTATTGTTGTCATTTTACTTAAAGCAGTTTTAGCAGGATTTATTAATTTATTATGTGCATAGGTTTATAGATAGCGATGACAAGATGCTTTTATGGCAGTGTGGTGAACTGATTGACACCAACATCCATCAAGCCAAGATTGTCTTGTCTCGTTTTTCCAAGTTTAGTTTGTATTCTGGCAACTGCTGCCCTTTTTAGGGTTCCCTCCCTGGTCATTGCATTTTGGACACATCCTTTCGCCTTTTCCCTCACCTCGTTTGTCAGTGTTTTGACATGATAGAGGGATTTTTGAGGAATCCCGAATAGAACAGAGTTGCAGTAATCATTGTCAAAGGTGAAAAGGCTATAACAGATTCAGAGTGTGGGGAACGAGAGGAACAATCATTCTCATTCTCATTTCATGGTTTTCTAATGTATTTCAGGTCTGATTGTGGGATCCTTGATGGTATGTTGGCTTCCAAACCAGATTCGTCGTCTTATGATGGCCGCTCTACCAAAGTCTGAATGGAGCCTTTTGTACTTCAGGAGCTACATTATCCTTCACCCTGTGGCAGACACCTTCTTCTACCTCAGCTCTGTCGTAAACCCACTCCTCTACAACCTCTCCTCCAGACAGTTCAGGGAGGTGTTTCTCCAGGTGCTGCGGTGCCACCTCACAATCGAACACATCAATAAGCGTACAGTAAAGCACCCACGGGCAGATTCAGCACACTCCCTACAGCCCTTGCTGCTCAAGTCGCTGCGTCGTAACAGGACAAGCCGCACTACAGCTGGTGAAAAGATAAGTGTCTCTACCACCACGACATTTCAAGTACAAAGTGACTTTGGAGTAGCTTCAAATACTCAGAAGTCCCTCGGCCTCAAAGAAGTGTCAGATTCAGTTCTTAAAATACACACAGATGTACCATTGGAGACTGAAATATAAGGTCTTGTAGATTTTAATAAGTCACAGTAAGCAATACTTACAAATGTTGTTCTGTGCTTTCACAAATAGGCGCATGCATTTTTCTTGTAAACACTAAACACGATATCAATCGTGCAATAAAGTTTTAGGTAAAGTTTTTTTATAGCCTCTCGCTTCATAATGTCATAAATTGATGTCATAGATTTCCATCCATCCATCCATTATCCTCCGCTTATCCGGGGTCGGTTCGCGGGGGGAGCAGCCGAAGCAGGGAAATCCAGACTTCCCTCTCCCCGGCCACTTCCGCCAGCTCCTCCGGGGGGGATCCCGAGGCGTTCCCAGGCCAGCCGGGACACATAGTCCCTCCAGCGTGTCCTGGGTCTTCCTCTGGGCCTTCTCCCGGTGGGACGAGCCCGGAACACCTCACCAGGGAGGCGACCAGGAAGCATCCTGATCAGATGCCCAAGCCACCTCAACTGGCTCCTCTCCACGTGGAGGAGCAGCGGCCAGCCACCCTGCGGAGGAAACTCATTTTGGCCGCTTGTATCCGCGATCTCGTTCTTTCGGTCACTACCCAAAGTTCATGGCCATAGACGAGGGTGGGAACGTAGATCGACCGATAAATTGAGAGCTTCGCCTTTAGGCTCAGCTCTCTCTTCATCACGACAGACCGGTACAGCGCCCGCATTACTGCAGACGCCGCACTGTTCTGCCTATCGATCTCACATTCCCTACCCCCATTCGCGAACAAGACCCCGAGATACTTGAACTCCTCCACTTGGGGAAGGACGTCCGCTCCGACCCGGAGAAGGCACTCTACCCTTTTCCGGTGAGAGACCATGGTCATAGATTTATTGAGTGAAATATTGAGTAAAGCACTAAACTTTAAAAGCGGGAGCAGAGATGTTTGTGTTGTGTTGCATTTACACTCCCGAACACATCACCAGGGTACAGTCACTGGTCATTAAATTTACATCCCCTATACACATTTTTAAAAAACAGCCACAGTAAAAAGATCTTTACAGAGACATACTGAAAAATGACAAATTACCATAACCAAACTGCAAAAGCTAATAAAAGGGCACCAACTCAATTAAAAAAGCAAATCGGTGTGCAACGTGTCTCAGCAGAAAAAGTTGTTTCATCTTAATTAATGTTGAGATAAGCTTCTCATTCTTTAAATAATCATGGTACAATGTTGGTCATAGCTGAAACATACCTACTGAGGAATTCTAAAAAAACTCGCACCAGTCCAAGATACTTTACATTTCCACTATGAAAGACCAAATGCACCAGCTCTGCAGCCTTAGAAACCTCCTCATCTAACTGAAAAAAAGCTAGGCAGCCCATAAATTGGACTCTGGAGTAATGATATAATTTGCAGTATTCTAAAATAGCAAAATGTTCTGTTTAACAGACGACATTACCTTGGTCGGAACTACGCAGTATCTACAGATACAACTGCTCTGATCTGACGAGGTTAAATGTTTTGGTGGCATGAAGCCCGTTAGCCCGTATATATCCATACATTTGTCACCTAATTTCTTAAGCAGAAGTTTTCAAAGGACTAAAAATGATGGTACGATGAGCACTGCAACTACCCTTTTCACAGGAGACTAATTTATCATTTGGCAGTAGTTCATATGAATTTTAGTTCCTGCAGACCTATAAGGCATTGTCCCTTTCATACATAGTGGTCACTACATTGCACAGGTATTTAAATTATCTAAATCCATGAAAGGGTTAACATTCACAAGTAACTGTTTCCATTATCAAGCTGTTGCTTTGAAAGCTCACATGTTGATACTTACATGTCATAAAAATCTTGCAAGCCATTCATGACTTTCATCCATCCGTGCCACTATTCATCAGCCCGTTCGTCGTTATGGATAGCTAACCATGTCTACCTTCATCCATGGAAATGAGTTTGAGTCAGATCTGTTTTTTGCTTTGGATTGAATTTTAGTTGCAACCTAAACTTATGAAATGTACTATTTCTGCCATAGCATCCCATGGTCACAGCACCTTATTATGCATCTATGGACTCAGTAGATAGAAGCAGCGCAGCCTTTTCTATGGTGAATTATCAACTCACCTAGAAAGCTGTCTTTTATTTTGAGTTTACTTGGGTTCATAATACTTATTGTAAAAGTACTGCTTTCCGAATAATACTATCAAGCCTGATTTAGTTCCTTTATATTTACAGAAGTATTGTGTTTCCTTATTTCCTTACTCACTTAAAATAAAATCTACTTTAGATCTTAAAGTTGAGAAAAAGTGGTTTATTTTTATATCATCACAGGATTCTCCATCAAACAAACAGAAATAAGGGGAATTTATTTACTGGCTCTTTCCTCTCTTTATTCAACATTTGCAGAAAGGAAAATTGGAACATTTATTTTCATATAGTAAAAAATAGATGAATTTTTAAGAAAACTTACTTTTTCTTGTCTCTGCAGTGACTATTTCTGATGAAAAGCTGTTTAGTCTACAATATTCCACTTTAACTCACTTGGCAGTCATGAGGCAGCCATAGCAATGAGGCAGCCATAGCAATATGACCATGTTCATTACATCACAAATAGTGTTAGAATTCTTTCTATTTTTTAAAATAATTTTCCTGTTGAAACTCTACAAGCAAGGTGCAGTAGAAGCCAAAAACTCAAAAACACGCACTGTGTAAAGTTTGCTCACATAAGTCAATTTCCAAATATGAATGTCTTGGCTTAAAGTAAAACAGTAAACAGTTTACAACTATTACTTTTAAGTGTGTGAAGATTTTGAAGACATATTCTAAATCTGTGTATGAGGAGTGTCAGCAAAGGATGGGTGGCAGCAGGAGGAGAATGTAGAGAGAAAAGACAGGCAGCTGCAGTGGTTTCAGAGTAATGGCAGTAGATGGCTGGGGATGTTTCTTCTGTTGTGGTCCATTACACAGTGGCGTATTACAGCAGGTAATGCACACTGAGTTGAGCTTGCCAGTGCAGAACTGTTGGTAGCCAGAGGAAGCAATAAGACATGCACCCGATGAAGCACAGGACTTGCGGTAGTGTATCCCTGAAAGAAAGAAAGAAAGAAAGAAAGAAAGAAACGGGGACATAAGGATTGCTATGAAATAACCTGAGTGTTACCTGTTTGTGAGAGCATGTGTGTAACTAATGTGAGAGAAAGAGCAGTGAAACAGATGAAAGGAGGTAATAGAGAATAATATTTCTGTAGTTTTATGGAATCAAACTGGGACGCACAAATCTTTTTCAAAAAAGATGGGGGGGGGGGGCTTGGCCACACAGAGACACACAAGGACAAACAACCACAAACACTCACTCACTCCTAAGGGCAATTTGGAATGTCCAATCAACCTAACGCACAGGTTTTTGGACAATGGGAAAAAGCCGGAGAACAGGGAGAACATGCAAACTCCAACAGAAAGGTCCTGTTTGAACCCAGAATCCTCTTGCTATGAGGCAATGGTGCTAACCACCACACCACCATTCCGCCCTTGAGACAAAGTCAATACACTTAATTTGAATTTGAATCTTTGAACCTTAAGCACTAATATGGTCTGCAGCAAGCACTCATTCAATCGTTGCAACAATTATGCGGAACAACACTGACAAAGCAAAACTAAATAAAATAGCAGCAAAGGAACAAAATGTTTGTATCTGTTCGTCCTGAATTTTGCCTGCGTGTACCTCTGCCCTGACAGAAGCAGCAGGAACTCATGAGCCAAGGGGTTGCCATTAGGATTGAATGGCCCTTGCAAAGGACTCTGGTTCGATACGGGCAAGAGAGATCATGAATGAGTTAATCTTTGGAATGAACCCAAACTGTTTTACAATCCCCTCCAGTTTGTTTTCTTTGTAGGTAGGGTTATTTTTCTCTTAAAAATAAAAACAGAGTGTAAAGCACTTTCATAAAAGTACAGTCAACATTAAACTATAAAGCTTCTAAAAAAGTACATGCTCTGATGAGCCATCTTACACAGCATCAACATGAAGGTCAAAGGACAGCTTGTTGTCCAAGTGACTGTTGAGGTATTTATCTCCAAGGCTTGGTTCTTTATGCTGACAAGAGACATCTGACGGATTCCACCAAAAGTCAATAAAGATTTTTTTTTTGCTTGTGTTGATATTGAAAAAGGAAGACCTGCACAAATAACTGAATTCCTTCACTATGGGTTTGTGATCAGAATTGTCACTGCCCAGCAAACAAGCTGTCCGCAAATTAAAAAAATCTTATGACTGATGTGGTGGCTGTGGCACTCATTTGTATAAAAAAAGGTGAAAGGACGCAGTCCTGAGATAATCTAGTGGAAGAGATGAGAGTGTCTGAAGAACACCATTTAGTATCATGTGTTGTTGATGCTCTGTTTAAATCAGTCAGCCAGGCTTAACCTGTCTACTTAAATGTATGGCTAAATGCAATTGAAAGCAGATGAAACACAAATGAATAAAAGATGGGCAAAGGAACTGTTAACTTCAGGTGGGTGTTGTAAAACAAGAGTTAGCCAGTACAACCTGACCCCGCAACCAGCCTAAATAACAATACCGGTGGAAATTACCAGCAAAATGAGCATGTAATCAGATAAAAACATTTTCCATCTTTTGATTAAAATCATAAATTATTCATAGTCCCAACTGCATCTTCAAAACATCTTCCTGAGCTGTAAGCAAACTGCAGTGGGTTTAGATTATCCTCTCACCCTTGTACTTGTATGGACACTTGGCAAATTTAAGATAATTTTTCAGTAGTGAATTGTTTTCTGTGTTTGGAGGCAGATGGGTTATTGTCATCAAACTTGATAGTACACAATTCATGACCAATTTAACTATTTACTGCCACAAGACCTTGCAATGACAGTATCTTTTAACTAATTAAGACTGTTAGTTTTTTTAATAGTATTAATTTATTCAAGTAATTTTATTTGTTTTTTTACATTCTTTCCTTAATGTGTCTTCCATCCCCCTCTGTCATGCGCTCTTACACATGTCACAAAGCGACATATCACTCTGCACTCAGAATACTGAATGGTTGCCTTTGACTTTCTGTCTATGTTGTCTGCTGAGTTCACCTACCAATTACCAGCATTGGTTACCTACCAATTTTGCATGTGGACAAATCAATTAAGTTCCTGCCAAACTACAAGAAACGTTCTAAACTTTCTACATGGTTGTCAGCTCATTTGTATTTTAGTTTGATATTCCTCTATAGAAATTGAAAATGTATAATTATACTACATATGGCCCTGTGATGGCCTGTCGACATTTCCAGGGTGGACATATTAGAGAATTAGTTTTTATCTGTTTGTTGGTGAACTTTTTCTTGAGATCATATTAAAAACTGTACAATTGTACAACACCTAGTAGAATCTTTCGTGACAGTGTTTGCTTAAAATACAGACTGGTCACAACTGACATCTGCATTAACTTGGCATTACTTTATGTTAGTAATAATAGATGAAAACTAAATCCAAGCATTTTACTTATAAGTAAAGTCACTCTGATCCCTGTAATTATCAAGTTTTTTTATTTTATGAAGATCATCCTCCTTCCAGTTGAAACAGCCTTTTATGGCCATAAAACTGTGGTGATACCCATTCAGTGCCAACCATGGGAATGATCTACTGTATTACAATTGGGACACTTAAAAAACATTCAATACACAATACACATAAACGCAATCCTAACATACTCAATGGCATCATCCCTTATCCCTTTATTTAAACCAAAATATCCAACAATAATAGAACAAAAACCTAACTTAAACCGCTTTTGCCAACCCCATCCCTCCTATCATCTTAGTAAGTGCCAGCCAACTAATTAAGCACACCAGCCCCTTTTCAGCAACACTCATGGGTGCTCCTCCATGACTGTACATTTTAATCTTAATAGATATTTATTGATCTTTAGATATTTTCCAAACACGTGTAGCACTTACATATCTGAACTAAGTCCTTAATAATTCTAGAAAGTCAATTGATTGCACAGTTGAACACAGACTGCACAATTGCTTTATGGAGAAAAAGAGGAATAAAGTTTGTACCTGAGAGTTAGGGTTTTATGAGATGTACATGTTGTATAAGACATGCACCTTATTAGCCCTCTGCATGGGGGCAAGCAAGCCTGTGCAGACTACCCCAGTGGGAATGTGAAAGTTAAAACTGGAACATGGAGCAATAGAAGAAGGTGACCTGGTCCAAAGGCAGCAATGTTTTATAGAGATAAAACTATATGCTTTGTCATTTACATTTGACCCATATCAGCTTAATAGAAAATATTGCTGACCAAGCTCACACCCTTTTACAAACTGTTATCCCTGATGGCTCTAGCCACTTCTGATGTGCCACACTGAAAAGTAATGATTCACGAATGATTGGAGCCGAAATAGTTCAAGGTGTTGACCTTAAATATTTCAAACCAATCGAAGGTTCATAGGATGTGTTTGCCAGACAGGTTCCACTCACAGAGGGCCTATTCATCTTAAACGAACTACGGATCTGCTAAATCTGCTTGTTGCCAGATGCAGCGACTAATTCTCATAGACTGATGAGTCAGTGTCTTGACAGGTCACAACTGTTTTGGCAGAAGGGCACACTCAATACTTAGCAGATGGCTATGGCTGATTGATGGGGTTTTTTCAGGAAATGCTTGATTGCTTATTTAAATATATTTGATCCCAACTCTCTTGTGTCACACACAAATGGTGGTTGAAGAACCATGCAATAAGCAAAAAAACCTATAATCTACAGCCACACCACAAATCAATGATAATTTGAGTACAGATAATGAAATTATTAAACATAACAAGTCACAAAGTCAATTTCCCTGCTCTGAACGTAAAATTTACTTTAAAACTTAAACATGCGGTTTGGAAAACTACAGTATTTGAAAACTCTCTGAATTCAACACACTTCAAAATGAGTGATGACACAACAATAACATTTCTGAAACTTACACAATAAGTAAGAAATCATAGAGATCTGATTACCATTAAGTCTGTGGTATCCTTCTTGAAGGAGCACTGGCTATGAAGGGATTAGCCGTTGTTGCAGATTCTAGACTGGTTTGGTAAATATGTATTAATTTGATATTTTCAGGCTAAAATTTAAGATATCTCAAGTAAACTGGATCCTGGCAGATTCTAAGATTGATTCTGCCTCCGGAAATGAGGTATTTCATTATCAAAAATACAAGAAGGTTATAATGTTTCTGTAAAGTTTCCATCCCGAGTCTTCACTATGAATGGAGATATTGAACCACTGCCCTTGAAACAACAAAGTTATTCAATAAGTTACTGAGTTACTTTTAAGGCCTTCAACTGGTGAACTCAAGCTTTAAATCTATATAAAAAGTTCTTCTGTCATACACAACACATTTTTCTGCTCAGCTATAGAGACTTGAGTTTTCATCACTATCAGCTATATAAATAAAATAAATAAATAAAATAAATAAAAAATAAAAATAAAAATCAGCTGCACAACTTGTTACAATATGGCACATCGGCCCCAGCCATTTCTTATTAATTGAAAACACAGAGAAATATTATTTTCATCACTGCTTCATATGGTGTGTAACATCTTGGGATACTGAGGACTCACTATCCACCGCACGAGTATGGGTCACACAGCAATCAGTCAGACAAGTTGCTAGATAGACAGCAAACTGTACACTTGTGTGCCATTTAACAAATGTCAGGGTCGGGGATTGATCCCGGGTCTCCCAGGTGGCAGGCGGGAAGCAATCTCCTGACCCACGGAGGCCTAGACAGTGACTCAAGCGCAGGCAAGTGCGAACGAGGAAAAGAGTTTATTTACAAAAAATAATAATCAAACGCTCAGAAGTTTCCAATAGAAGGTAAAAAGTCCAGAACACAGGTAGTAAGATCTCAAAAACAAAATGCGTCCAAAAGGTAAGTACTTCCACAAGGGCAAACAGATATAAGACCCAAAGAACAAAAAGAGACTTGAGGCAAAAGAGCAAGAAGTGTACGAGACTTACTGGGGAACCAACGAAGACTCAACAAGGAGGGCAACAGAACACCGGGTTTAAATACTCTAACTTAACGAGGCAATCACATGACAATAGGGAACAGGTGGTGGAGACAGACAACAAAAGGAAGAGGGACTTTGGCGACATCAGGTGGTGAGACAAAGGGACCCAGATTGTGACAACAAAATTCTTAAAGGTTTTTTGACAGCTTTTGTGAAATACCATTTTTTCTACACTTGTACAAAGAAACTGAAAAAGAGTTACTCTGGTTATTGGATAGTTCATTATTTTGAGTCACTTCCATGATTTAAAAGTCTATGATGGTGGCTCTCATAATTTTGTTATTGGGGAGAAAAACTTTCACCAGATCAGTGTTCCAAATTGACTATATGTATAGAGGGAGAGAGAGAGATTATACTAAAATTTATAAAATTTACTGTGGGTCGTTCTTCTTTTTGATTATTGATTCCACTTAGACAGGACTCTTCTTTGCAGGTGCACTTAGCTTAGCCCACGATATCTAAGAATGACAAAAGCTTTTTTTCCTTCAAATGAGAAAGTGATCACTCCTACATACAAGAGCATAGAAATCCTATCAGATTTAAATACTAAGAGAATATACAATGTTAACCTGACAGTGCAGTGTCACAATTCATTTGGCTCGGAAAAGCGTCATATTTGTATCCCAACTCAAACCAATCACAGTGTTTAAAAAAATGGATGTGCTCATAATAGGTAATTTATTTTTATGTGAGATCGATAGGCGGAACAGTGCGGCGTCTGCAGTAATGCGGGCGCTGTACCCGTCTGTCGTGATGAAGAGAGAGCTGAGCCTACGGGCAAATTTATCGGTCGATCTACATTCCCACCCTCGTCTATGGTCACGAACTTTGGGTAGTGACCGAAAGAACGAGATCGCGGATACAAGCGGCCAAAATGAGTTTCCTCCGCAGGGTGGCTGGGCTCTCCCTTAGAGATAGGATGAGAAGCTCGGCCATCCTTGAAGGGCTCAGAGTAGAGCCACTGCTCCTCCACGTGGAGAGGAGCCAGTTGAGGTGGCTTGGGTATCTGATCAGATGCCCCCTGGTCGCCTCCCTGGTGAGGTGTTCCGGGCTCGTCCTACCGGGAGAAGGCCCAGAGGAAGACCCAGGACACGCTGGAGGGACTATGTGTCCCGGCTGGCCTGGGAACGCCTCGGGATCCCCCCCGGAGGAGCTGGCGGAAGTGGCCGGGGAGAGGGAAGCCTGGGTTTCCCTGCTTCAGCTGCTGCCCCCACGACCTGACCCCGGATAAGCGGCGGAAAAATGGAAAATTTTTATGCGTTATATTTTCTGCTCACAGAACACATCTGTCTGTGTTTAGAATGTCCAAATGCTCCAAAAAATATATAATGGAGTAGTTTGATGAGTACACTATATCATCATGTATCTGACAATGTTTCAGCTTATTACACTGGATTTAGCTCAGTTATTAAATATAAACATAAGAAAAATCTGTCAGAAATTATGATATATGGATAGATCAATTCTTACTTTAAAATTTATGCCCTGAGGCCACGGAGGTTAAGAACCCCTGATCAAGGGGAGGTGTTTATGTTGGGTGTCTCAATTTCTGGTTTAAAGGTTGTCCATACTAATGTGAATTTCACCCAGTGCTTTTATCAACTTGAGGAATCTATCAAATGTTGCAAAACACTTCCCATATACAAAAATACTAATTTCTGAGAAGACTTATCTCTGGAGCCTATCCCAGTGGTCAATGGGTGAGAGTACACCCTTGACAGTCCGCCAGTCCATCGCAGGGCCACACACAAGACATACAAGGACAAACAACTATGCACACTCACATTCACTCATTCACTCCTAAGGGCAATTTGGAATGTCCAATCAAGCTAACATGCAGGCGTTTGGCTGGCAGGACCTACATTCTTTGGGAGTCTGGATTATCATTGTGCCAGCTTGTTTGGAGGTTTGTGGTGGGAGATTGTGGGCTAGGTAAGTTGGGGTATGTTTATGTTTATGTTTATGTTTATGTTTATGTTTATGCATTTGGCAGACGCTTTTATCCAAAGCGATTAACAGAGTAGACACAATATTACATTTCTCATCACTATGACAATAAGCTATATAGAGGAGAAACACTGATCAGAGTCAGTGGTGACAGCAAGAGATAGAGGTAGAGGGACTACCGAAGGAGCTGTGGGGGGGGGTAGAGGTACGGGTTAGGGGTAGGATAGGAGATGCTCTTTGAAGAGGTGGGTCTTCAAGAGTTTCTTGAAGACAGACAGGGACTCTGCTGTTCTTGTGGCGCTTGGTAGGACGTTCCACCATCTTGGAACGACACATGCAAACAGTCTGGATTGTCTTAAGCGTGGTGAAGGCACTGTTAGACGACAATCCATTGATGACCGGAGTGATCGAGTTGTGACATAAGCCTTTGCAAGGGGATTCAAGTAGATGGGAGCCGTACCCTTAAGCACTTTGTAGGCTAGCATCAGGGACTTGAATTTGATACGGGCAGCCAGAGGTAACCAGTGGAGTTCAATGAACAGAGGGGTGACGTGTACCCTGTACACCTTCGTCACGCAGGTGGATTTCTGTTAAATACCCTAGTTAAGTAGGTTGGTGCCACCATTGTATCATTATGAATCTTAATTGACTTAGGGAGGGACAGGGTTTTCTTTTCTTTTTATTTATTTCAAAGGTACTATTAGTTAGGCCCTGTTTTGTTTAGGTGATTTCTTTGATTTGGCACAACCTATCGGCCCCTTTCTCCCCAACAGTTGTTGAGCCTTCTTTGTCTTTTGGAAGAGCAATAAACCTCGTTTTGTTTTTTCTCACTTTATAAAGACTCTGCTTTATTAAGGGTGTCAGGTTCTCTCCTTCCTTCCCCTGGGGGGGGGGGGGGGGGGGGGGATGTAACAAAGAGATTCAACCAAAGAAAGAATGACTGAGAAATAATGGTTAAGAATGTAAAGTTAATGGGGAGCAGAGATTTCAAATGAAAGCAAAGCTAAATTATCAGTTGACATTGTGGGCTCTGGACTGGTCTTCAGTACTGGACAGAGCAGTGGAAAAAAAAGTACTAAAAAGCTACTTTTTGAGACAAAACAAACACAGGCTGAAAGACACTGAACCCTATTTAGAGCATAATTATCTTTTCCTACAGTGGCCCTGGAGTGCAAGCTAACAAATCACTAGTTGCAACCACAAATCGAAAAACAAAACTTTCGTATAAAATGACGTATATTTTGCTTGTTTTATTTTGAAAGACAATGTAATTCCAACAAACTTTATTCTCTTGTATTTCTGGTGGACTACAGCTTCACATGTTAATGTATTGGCAGTATATTTATCAGTGTGTCTTGTTTAGCCCTAAAGTAACTTTTTTCTGCACCTCGGGGGCTTCAATAGTATGTCTCTATCATGCAGTGATACACCGATAAGTATCAAGTTCTCACAAGCCACACACTAGATTATAATTTGCACGATATTAGCTTTTATCTTACTGTAAAAACAGTTTACATTTATGCCAATCATTTCAAATACTGACCTACAGTTAAGCCTTTCCTACTCTAATGATAGTTAAAGTGCACTGTAAGGGTCCTGCATCAATTTAACTCAGATGAACTGATTTCTGCTTAAGGCATAGATCAGAAAACCCTAAAGTAAAAAGTAATGTTCTGTCACAGTCTTATCTTTAAGCCCTCAGTAGTTCCTCTGATCCTGCCTTGCCTCCCTCAGCCTATCAGCCACACCCACCTCATCAGTGACTCTACTCACCTGTGCAAACAGCTACCTCTGACCTCATGCAATCAGTCCAGTGTATATAATCACCAGCGCCACACTCACTCCTTGCCATACTGTTCTTTGCCATGCAAGACTTTCCAGCATTTACCTGCCAGTCTTCTCTGTACCGACCTTGCCTGTCCCTGATTCCCCTGCTCGTATGCCTCCTAGTAAATCGACCCAGCCTTCTGTCCCTGACCAAGAGTTCAGCCTGTTCCCTCCTGATTCCTGTTTGCCGGTTTGTGATCTGTTTGCCTGCCTGTCAGAGACTTATTAAAGAGTTTAACTTTACAACAGTCTGTGAGTCCACTGTACTGCAACTGGGTCTGTACGACACCCATTACACCGATGTTCTGGATAAATTGCACCATAAATTGCACCATTTCCAACAGATGGAGTGAAATCATTTGTAATCAAGAACTATGACTTACCATCATCCTTCACAAGAACTTCCTTCTGACACATGTCCTGAACATTCACTGTGCAGTTTACTATGAATTCTGGTGTGGAGCAGTCGTGCATCATCTCCTCACACTGGTAACACTGAATTTGAAGAGCCAGCCCTGCAATACAGTCACTTATTCAGACCAGTCTCATCACAGCACATCCACCTGTGACCATAAGACCTGTGTTTGATTCATAAGATACTTTCTAAAAATAATTATGAATGTTTTATCTGAAACTGATATCAATCAATTTAGTCAATTTGTACAGTGTATATGATTTGCTGAAACCAAAGTGCTTGCATTGAGTCTTTTAAAGTTCATACATTTGAAAGCAAAGCTAAAGCACAAGAAATGCACCTAGGTGATGCATTGAAATCATAATAGTAAATTGGTGCGAAACAGTTTTCTCTCTTTATGTCCTGCTGGTCAGAGATACTTCAGTATTTTCAGAACTCTTGGTATCACTATAGTGAGTAGAGCTAGTGAACACAAAATCCTGTCTCATTTTGCACTTATGGTCAACTTCAGTGAAACGTCTTGTATAATTTGCAGTTCAAATATAATTGGTTTATATTCAAGAACACATAGGTCTGAAAACATTCCCTTCTTTCAGAAGCATAGATGGATCCACATTTCCTTTCTTCAGAAGCTTTTAATTCCCTGCCTTATATCAGACTGACCTATTTATGAATTCAAAAATGAAAATTCATACAAAGATTACAATAGAAGATAAGGGATGTTTAAAATAGGACAGAGTTAAGGAAATCACTACCATTAAATTTAATAAAGATTACATTTAATTGGTAAAGATGTTCTGCCACAAACTTTTTATTTCACTGAGACACACACACACACACACACACACACACACACACACACACACACACACTAATAAAATAGATATGATCCCTTATACAGTGAAGCAGATTGGGAGACTAAAGACCCAAACAACGACAGTTGTTTGGGTCTTCTTTTTTCTTTGGCATTTCTACAAATTTTTAAAAGTGAGTAAACGGGATTGCATTACATGTTACATTACATAGGCTACATTCCCACACAAGTCACTGAAGGACTGAAATTATGATGATGATTTGAAAACCTTAACAGTGATGTTATTTATTTGCTTTCTAATAGTACAAGATATTTTTCAGGGATATGTATTGACCATCTAACTGCAAAATGAGATAATTCAAGAATCTTGCTCTATCACTCGTTTGTTCCTCTGGTTTGTAAGTAATGGTTTGTAGCCGTCATGATATTGAATATAATATAGGTATGTCCAGACAAATACATGTGTCGCCCTCTACAGATGCATCAAAAAGAAACTTTGATGTATCTGTAGAGGGGAAAACTAAATCAAATCTTTAATTTCCGTGTATTATCCCCCGCAGGTCTTTGGCTAATCCTGTTATACTTCAGCGAAACCATTTCTTTATTCACCATCTTGCCTTAGTAAACAAATGGCATCTGCAGACTTTAAGACTTGCAAGTCTCTGAGTAGAAACATAATAAACAGATGATAAACCTAGTCAGAATGTTAAAGTGGAGCGAGAGTCTGCCCTAATTTGCCTTTCAGTTAAAAAAACTTGCCTAAACCGCTTCCTGCAAACAGGACTGTGTTAGGACAATTTCAGAATAACAGGGCGCTTGATCGAAGCACAAACAATACGATCATTACGACAAGTCAAAGTCTACAAATCTGTTTGCATTCGTGGAAAGTTTGTCAGAGCAAGTCTACGCCTAGCCATGAAACAATAAAAATAAAAAAAAGAAACCGAAAGCGTTTGGAAGTTTGGGAGTCAGTCAGCCTGCAGAGGAGGGACGCGAATGAAAGATATAGTTCCATACCTGAGCTGAAGAAGGACAGGACAAAAGATGAAAACGTTAACTGTCTCATCGTTTGCTGAGAGTGACTTCGAGAAGAAACATAAGGGATGGGTTTGCGCCAAGACACGCAGTAGCGGGCAGGCTCGCATGTTGAGCCTCACACTCATCCTCCAAAGCTCTCCCCCGCTGACGTACGAGCTCACATGCAGCCGAGTGAAAGCTGAGAAAAACTTTAACCAATTAATGTTATTCATGATATTTTTTTTACGATGATTATCATTATTGACAAAGGAACCAGTAGTGATACTTATACGTATAACACTAAATACACTTAACAATAATAATAATAATCGTCACCATCATTAACCGAAAAATGAAGACTGCAGTAAAGTTAGCAACATATTCACAGATTCGCGCCTCCCGCGTTGGGACATTTTTAAAACACAGCCAATGCCTCTTTACAACTGTAGTAGCTCACACAACGAACTACAACCTCATTTTTATCTAAATAAGCCGTCCTCTGCGCTGCTCCGACAACATTGATCTCTATGGACACTAGGCGTTGAGACGAGTGCCCAGGGACCATCAACAAATTTCAATAACGAAAAATTATAGCACAAAAGAAAATCAATAACTAAACTCTCATATATTGTAGCTTCCCCCAAATCACTGTACACATCATCCAAACCCTTCTGGTGATACTACAACTTTTGTTATGTTAAGAAGAAACTTTTCAATATTTGTATTAATATTTTTGGGAATAAATAATCAATAACTAAACAATTTTGAACTGTAGCCTCATCAAAATCACTGTGTACATCATTTACATCCTCCTGGTGATACTAAAACCGTTATTTAATCCATAAAATCATTTTTCATATTTCTTATGAATATATTTGGGGATCCATAATCAATAACACTAATATTATGAATGGTAGACTCACCAAAATCACTCTGTACATCATTTGTATCCTCTTGTTGATACTACAACTCTTAGTTAATCCATAAAATAATATTTCATATTTTTTATGAATATTTTTTGGGATCCATAATCAATAACGCCTATTATGTGAATGGTAGACTCACCAAAATCACTCTGTACATCATTTACATCCTCCTGTTGTTACTACAACTCTTATTTAATCCATAAAATCATTTTTCATATTTTCTATGAATATTTTTTGGGATCCATAATCAATAACGCCAATATTATGAACTGTGGACTCACCAAAATCACTGTGTACATCGGTGACACCTCCCTGGCGATACTACAACTGCTATTTTATCCATAGAATAATTTTTCATATTTTTATGAATATTGTTTGGGATCCATAATCAATAACGCTAATATTATGAAAGGTAGACTCACCAAAATCACTCTGTACATAATTTGTATCCTTTTGTTGATACTACAACTCTTAGTTAATCCATAAAATAATATTT